TGACCCTTTTTGTGCAGTCAAGAACAAAACCACAGCTCCCCTGAGGTTTTCCAGGGATCCAGGCACGTGGATCCATCACAGCAGAGCCCTGTCCTTGAGGGGGAGAGCTTTGGCATCCCATTCCTCGTTATTGGCACTTGTACTCCCTCATCACCCCCTTTTCTTGTCGGGGAGAGGTTCTGTGGGTCAGCTCTGCAAGCAACTGAGTGCTTTGGGTCCCAAAAGAGAAGGATCTGCTGAGGGTCCTGTCCTCCCCAGCTGCCATCCCTGTGTGGGGACACCAAGCTGTCACCAGCACCCCGGGGACAGGAGCAGCTCAGAGGAGCCAGGCAGGAATATGTGGCTGCACCTCTTCATTTAATCCATGAATTTTGCTGCATTTGCCATTCTAGAAGCTCCTGTGAATACCTCAGCCAGGTCTGCGCTCCAGATTTTATTTCAGGGCTGAAGATGAAGGAATTGCTTCCCGATCTGGTGTGTGCACGAGGTGTTTGCAGCTCTGCAGGCAGCGGGCACACGGACATGGAGGCGGCCGCGCATCCCCAGCCTTACAATTCCCAGCTGCAGATGGTCCCTGCGAGGCAGGAGGCAGAGCTGGGGCTGCCAAGGCACTGTGGAGCGGTGGCTGTCACCCAGAGCTGGCACTGCTGTGCCAGTCTGAGCAGGGGGGGATGCCGGGGTGGGATCCCAAAGGCTGGGCTGAGCCTCCACCCACAGCCGGAGGGTGAGGGATGGGACACCCGGTGCCTGTGCCAGGCAGGGGCCACCTGCCCCTGTGCCACCTCCTGCAGCCCAGAGTGTCACTGTCACCTGCCGGGGGCAGAGGAGGAGCTGCCAGAGCCACCAGACCGAGCATCCCATGAACAACCACGTGCTGGAGATGAAAACCCATTTCCCCTCCTGCAGGTCTGAACGAGACTGTGCTGCTCCTGGGAGCGGGGCTGGGATCGCTGCCTGGCACTTTGTTATTCCAACAAACCCCGCTCAGATGTTCCATATTGATGTGATGATTAACTCGAGCCGTGGTAAACCACAGGAAAGCGTTTGTCTGCAGGAGCCTGTGTGCCAGAACATGAGGCTGCTCCGAGCCCTGCCGGGATGCTGGGCCGGATGGATGGAGCAAACTCTGGCTCGAGGACAATTTTCCTACTCGAGCAAGCCTCACTTCGGGATATTTGCTATTTTCTCAGTCTTTCTTGCTTCCCAGAGGAGGCTGTCCTTGCTTTCATCACGTCCCCCAGGAGCCTGGCACGGCGCAGGGAGGGTGTGAGGGAGCCAAGGAGAAGGGAATGTTTGCAGAAGATCTGATCCCTCACTCGGGGAGTGCCGGCTCCCCTGTGCTGCAGCACAGCCTGTCCCCCTCTGATGTTAATGATGTTCTTAGAGCAGCAAAGCCAAGCCCAGCGCAGAGGTTGCCCGGATCAGAGTTGAAGGGGCTCTCTCCGCGTGCATCCGCAGCGCTGTAATTAAATAATCCCCTGGTAGCCATGGCAACGTTGTCCCCGTGTCCTCTCCCACTCGCTGCTTCTCTGCCAGAACTTGCCGGCGTTGATTTGGTTCTGACAGCTCTGAGAGCCCTCCCTGCCGTGCCGGGGGTGTGGGGGAGCAGAGCTGCTCCTGCAGGAGCTGGACCTGGGGCAGAGCTGCCCCTCAGTGCTCCTGCCTGCTCTGAGCATCCCTGGGGCGCAGGGATGGGGGACAGAGCCATTCCCACCTTTGGGATGCTCCTCAGTGATCTGTGGTTAAAAGTCTCCCTTTTCCTCTCCTCTGTGTCCTGGCTCTGCCCCATGGATGCATTTCCTGCATCCCACTCCCTCCTGCTCCTTCCACGCTCCTCGCTGGATCAGTCTCGGGGTGTCTGAGATCTCCACGAGGCAGGAGCAGCAGTTCCAGGCAGGAATTTCCACAGCCCGAGGCACGTTGCACCCACGTGTCTTGCTCAGCAGAGCCAGAGCGTTCCCATCCCTGCACACTGGGATTTCTCTTGGCCAAGGTTTCCAGCAGGATATTCCACCTGGAGCTCTGGGTGGAGGAGCAGTGGGAAGAGGAGCCTGTCAAACTTTTTCCAGCCCTCTGGGAAAGTCTGACTTTATTTTCTCTGTCACCCTGACACATTAATGGCTGTAGCTGAGGTGTCCCCCTTGCTCCTTCCCACACTTTTTCACGTCTCCTGCCCCAGCACAAAGCGGAGTTTTCTCATGAATAAAGGAAAGAATCAAATCTCATTGGAAAGTTCATCAACTTTGGGCTCCTGCTCAGTGAGTGATAGATGGCTTTAATTACACTGAACTAGTTGGCATCTCTACTCCACTCCCCAAAGTCATTAAAAATAGATTTTCTGTTTGAACTCCAGCCCCCTGAGGGGTCTGTGGGCAGCCTGCCGTGGCTCTGAGATGCTCCAGGGGCTGTCTCCAGCCAGGGGAGGTCACAGGCCTGGGCTGGTAGCACGCTAAAGCTGTGGAAACTTTGCTTTGGCTGTTTATTTAGGTATTTATTTATTTATTTATTTATTTATTTGGAACGGTTTCCTTGCATTTATTTGCTCTAGGGGCTGGCAGAGTTAGAATTCGTGTGTTTTGGAGAGTCTGTACTGATTTTTTGGTGTTTTTGGTTTTTTTTTGGGGGGGGTGTTTGTTTTGGGTTTGTTTTTTTTTTTGTTTTGTTTCTAATTTATTTTATTTTGCTGATGTTATGGGTCAGGCAGTCAGGGACAGCAGTAATGAGGCTTTATCACTGAATGGTTGAGCAGCAGCAGGTTCGTTTTGGCAGGGAGAGAGGAAGAGAGGTCAGGGTCGGGCTGGGGGGAGCAGGGCCGTGCCCCCAGGAGCCAGGAGATCCCCCAGCAGTGTTGGATTCTTGGCTGTTGTCCTTCACACAGATGCTCCTCCAGAGACATTGTTCAAAACCCTCTGTGTGGCTTTTAAAGAATTATCATGTGCAGAAGCCGCAGCTTCTGAGCAGAAAAAGAAACGAAGCGCTCAACATCAAATCATCTCTAATGAACTCTTATTCACATAATTCCAACCCTCCGTTATTTATAGAGCGCAGCGAGAGCATCCAGCTCCTCACAAACATGAAACGAGCCCTGAGCTGCATTTAAATCACGGGGACAGATCCTGCCAAGCCTCCCTTTGTGCCTATGAGCAGGGCTGGGGGATTTTGGGGCTGTCCTGACCTCCAGGCTGGCTCAGAGCTCAGCGTGCTGGGCTGATTTTAGGGCAAACACAGTGACCTCCCTGGGTGCTGTGGTGGCTGGTGTCTCCCACAGGGAATGCTGAAAGCTGTGGGATGCTTGTTTGGTTTGAAAAACACGTGTTTGCCTCTGGCAGCGTGGTGGCTGCAGCACTGGTGTGCACTGGGAAGTGCTGGGGGGGTCACTGGGAGGGGATGGGGTGGGTGTGGGCAGTGTCAGGCACAGGTAAGTCCTGGATGGGCCATCCTGGGGGGCTGTTCCTGCCACCAGGCTCCTGGGCTTGCTCCCACCCCACCTGTGAAGTGCTTTTTGCTCCTTAGAAAGGAGAGGCAAAGCAGCAAAGCCCACAGATCACCTGTGGCCAGGAATCAAACCCACCTGTGGCCACGAATCAAACCCCAGCCCTTCATTTCCACCTCTGATCCTGAATTTCTCTGCCCCATTCCCGAAGCTCTTTCCATGCAGGCAACCCCAGCTCTGCCCCTCACATTCCCCCCATTTCCAGGGTCCCAAACCGAACCCCCCAGGGGCTCCACCTCGGCCAGAAAACACCAACCCCGCTCCTCCCCGGGCGATTTCTGTTTCAGGAAAAGCTGTCGAGTGGGGCTGAGGAAACAAGAAGAATAGCAGCCCTATTGGTGCCGTGCTCAGAGAGGAACTGGGTTCTCACTGTGTCAACAGCACTTGGCGTGACAGTGGCCGTTGTTTGGGGAGACACTGCTCCTTTCAGAGCGGCTGCTGGGAGCCGGGTGCTGTTTTGACGGACAGAGCCAGAGCCATCCAACAGTTGTTTGAATTCGCAGCCAGTTGCAGGCACCGCTCCTGGGTGCTGCAGGGAGGGGATTATCTGCAGTGTTCGATAGGAGAAATGGGAAGAGAATCACGGAATCACGGGATGGCCTGGGCTGGAAGGGAGGGTAAAGGTCACCTGCACACCTTCTGCTATCTCAGGTTGTTCCAAGGTCTGTCCAGCCTGGCTTTGAACACCTCCAGGCATAGGGAGTCCACAGTATCCTGCTCCAGTGCCTCCCAAACTTACAGGAAGGAATTCCTGCCATATTTTGGAGGAGAACTCTACAGGAGCTCAAGACAGGGGATGCAAACCCACCCTTCTGCAGGAGGTGGCAAAGGATGGGTTGGAAAGGTCAGAGCAGTTAAAAATGCTGGAGGTGGCAAAGGATGTGTTGGAAAGGTTAAAGTGGTTAAAAAGGTTAAAAATGTCTTTGCTGGAGCCAAGCAGTGACCTGTGGTTAAAGCCTGGTGTCGTTTTGAAGCCTTTGGGGGTTTCAGTGCTGGTAAATAGGTCAGGACCAGCATCGGGCAGGACATTCCTCGGGTGCTGGGAGAGGGGTTTGGGGCTGTTCCCACCTCTGCTCCCCTCTGTGGCATCTCTGGGAAGGGACAGGAACCCCCAGTGGGTCAGGCCTGGGGACACAAGTGGCTGCTGCTGGAAGGGCTCAGAGTGGCCAAAGCAGTGAAACACCCACCCGGACTAAACAAGCTGCCAAAATCCCAGAGATTTCTTCTTCCCCGGGGGAAGGGTGAGGCAGCAAAGCGTAAATCGGGGAAGAGAGGGCTCAGGGGATGCTCTGGCCAGGGGGGATCAAGGAGCTGGTGCCACCGTGGGAGCCTGGCTGGGGCTCTGCGTGCCCAGGACTCACCCGAGGGACGGGCTGAGCTCATGTCTCAGTCTCCAATAATTCGGAACGAATTCATTTCCTCGTGCTTGGCTGTTGTGTTCTGTGGCTCTGGGGCTGCCCTGGCTGTGCAGGGCAGAGCAGCACTGAGTGTTTGTGTTCCCTTGCAGGTGTCCCGGGTGCCCGTGGAGTCCTGTGAGCAGTACACGACCTGCCAGGAGTGCCTGAGCTCGGGGGACCCCCACTGCGGCTGGTGCTCCCTCCACCACATGTGAGTCCAGCCTTGGCCATTTCCCGGTGATAAAAGCAGCTCTCAGAGCTGCCCGGGGCCTCCCACACCAAACAAATGAGGCTGGAGCTCCTTAAATCTGTTTTTCTCTCCTTTGGACGTTCCCTGCATTGCAGCTCGGGTGCCACTGGAGCTCCCGGGGAGACGTGAAGGAAAATCAACTCCTGCTTCAGAAGCAGTGGCCAGGGTGATGTGGGCACCATGGAAAAACAGAATTTAAACTGGTGGGGATGGAGGCCTGGTGCTTTGCACACCCCTCCTGGTGTTCTGCACCCCCTGCTCTTTGCCCAGGCTCCAAATCCCAAATAACTTGGAATTTTTAAAGGCAACGGCAGACGTGATGCTGTGAGCGGGGCTTTGCTCCCAGCGAGGTTACAGCAGCAGGGCAGAGCATGGAGCCCTTTTACAAACCCCAGGAGATTTCAGTCCTACAAGGGGAGGTTTGAGCTGCTCGGGGGTCCCAGCTCCAGCCATTCCCGGGGGGATCCAGCAGCAGGGCTGGGAGCTGACAGCCCCCTCCCATCACCACGCACAAAGGGCTGAGGGTGCTTTTCTCCAGGGGAACTCCAGGAAATTCTCTCTGCATTCAGGAGGTGTCTGTGCCCTTCCTCTCTCTGCCCTGCCATAATGACGAGCACTTCCTAGGGCGGAAGGGAGACACCGGGCACAGGAGCCCGGGGAGGAGGGGAGAGCCTGGAGCAGGGGAATAGAAATCCCTGGGGCCCCGTGCCAGCTCCCGTGAATGCGGGGAGAGCGGGGAGGTGGGGGAGGCAGAGCTCAGGGACCCACACAGCAGCTCTTGGCCACTTGCCTGAGGAGCAGGTGCTGGGGGGGAGCAGGGAGCCGCAGGCTCCTCCGCAAATCCGGCCTGGATTCGGGGCTTTGGGGGGCACAGCAGCTCCCCACGGCGCCTTTGGGTCGTGGCCACGCTCGGGGAGCTGCAGGAGGAGCAGCTCAGCCCCTGAGCATCCCACAGGCTCCTTTTGGGAGGGGCTGGGGGTACCAGCAGAGCTATGAGCACCCCAGGCAACCCGGGCAACCCTTGGGGGTTTTTTAAGTTTTTTTTCCTCCCCAAGCGAGCCCTACAGCTGAGCCTGTAGGGGACACAGGCAGCTCAGGGTACAGCCTACCCTGAACCACCCTCTGTGCAGTCACGTCCAAAATCTTCACTGCCACAGCTCCTTTGTCAGGAGGGAATTATTTCCACCCCTGGGCACCCCCATCCCTCGGGCTCTGCCACCCCTGGGTGCCCTCTGGGCAGGGGCTGCTGCAGCAGGAGCTGTGCTGGGGGTGTTTGGTGCTGCTCCTCTGCAAGGATCAGCGAGCACTTCCCTCATGCTAATGAGCTGAATCTTCACAAGCCACCTGGGAAGCAGGTAAAGGTTGTTATCTTCATTTTGCAGAGACAAAACCCTCAATGACAAGAGGAGAGAAAAGTGTCATTTCCTCTGCCCTTTTGGCCGTGACATTTCAGCATTAACCTATTCCCAAGAAGGGCTCCTCCCCTGATGGGATTTCTCAACTCTCCCTTCAAGCACCTGCACTTTGGAGCAGTGATCATTTTTTAGCTTATATTTTTTAAAAATTTTAAGCTGTAAATAATTGAGTTAATCTTGCTGTTCCTCGAAGCCTGTGTCATCTCTGTTTGGAGTCCCCAAGTGCTGGAGTGTTTGTATTTAATTTGTCATCTCTCCCCTTTCGTTCTCACCCCTTCCTGCTTCCAGCTGCTCCGTGGAAGGTGCTGGCTCGGGGGGGATGCTCACACTGTGTTTAGGGATGGCTGAAAGGGTGAGGGGTGCAGGAGGAGGTGATTTGTACATCCTCTGCATGGGCAGAGGGATCCTTTGCTCTTTGGGAGCCAGCAGAGGCCTCCAGGAGATTGTCACAGGATCTCTCCAGCCCAGTGGGATCTGAAGCCTGCAAGACTTCCCCGTGCTGCTCTCTGCAAGTGTCTTATTGTCTCCAGGCCTATTTATCTCTGTTGGGGCTGTTGCCATAAATAGGATGATAAAAAAGAGCCATTCCAGTGAGTCAATGAGATAAAGGCTCCAGTCAAGAGCTCACTTTAGGGCTATCTTAGAGATTCACTTAAACCTCGATATTTCTTCCTTTGGCACCATTCATATTTAGCTCCTTTATGCTCCAAAGGAAAAGGTACAAAAGCGAGAGGGTGAGGAGAGCAGCCCCAGCGTTTGTTGGGGATCACGGGGGTGGTTTGGAAGGGGAAAGTGGAAACTTCACTCACCTTCATCTAAAGCAAACAGCCTCACTCCCACTGTTCCATAGAATCCCACAGTGCTCAGGTTCAAAGGGACCTCAAAGGCAAGTTTGTCATCTGCACCCATGGAGGGGGGCTGGAAGGGAAGGATTCTCCCCAAATGACACAAACCAGGAAATCCTGGAGGGATGCCAGCACTGCAGTCTGGTTTGGAGCACTGATGGTCCTCCCTTGGTTCCCAGTGTGCTGGAAGCAGCTGGATTTCTCTCTGCTCCAAGGACACCTGCAGTACAGAACAGGGATAAGGAGCCATTCCCTGGAGAACAGGGAATGCCAGGAGCAGCCCCAGCCACCCTGGCATGCTCAGAGCCTTGATTCCTGCTGCTGGGAACGGGAAGGAGCTGGGAGCTCAAGGCATGAGCAGCAGCCAAGCACTGCTGGCAGCAGCTGGAAGCTCCCATTCCTGGCTGTGTCTCCCCCTCAGCTCCAGGAGGAGATGATTAGTGAGTGGTATGGTTTTAATTAGGACAGAGGCATTTAAGAGTGCCTGTTACTGCTTTCTGGTTTAGTTTGTGTGCAGATGATGAGTCCATGGCTCACCCCACACCCCCAGCACACGGGATTGGCAGCTCTGCATTGTGTCCCAGTGCAGGAATTACTCATGGGGTACTCGGACTTGGTGTTTTTGCTGATCACAGAATATTTTCCAGTGCCCTTTAATCCTAACCTGGTGTCCAACACCTGCTCCCAGTGCGGGGCATGGCCAGCTCCTGCAGTGGAACATCTCCCCGGGGGGTTGGGGTGTGTGCTGTGCTCTGGGTGGGTGTTTTCCGTGCTCTGAGTGCTCCTGTGTGGCAGGTGCTCCCCGAGGGACCGCTGTGAGCGGGCAGAGGAGCCGTTCCGCTTCGCAGGGAGCATCAGCCAGTGCCTGAGCGTGGCCGTGCAGCCCAGCAGCATCTCCGTGTCTGAGCACAGCCTCCCGGTGAGCAGCGACAGGGGACAGGGGGACAGGGGGACACAGGCACCTCCAGCAGGGAACATTCCACGCTCCAGCCTTTCCCCTTTCCCTCTGGCACAAATGTTTTCTCATGAAGTCACGCTCGCAGAGGGACAGGGGAGCCAAGGGGTCACGGAGGGGGGGGGGGTGGCAGAAACAAATTCCCCTTCCCCCGGTGCCTCAGCTCACATTTCCCTGGTTCTGTAGCTGGTGAAAGGAAAGGCTTTGTTTCCCAAAATCTCCTCTGTGAGCTGTGCTCAGGCCTGGCTCTCCGAAGCTTCCCAGCTGTTGCTGCCAGAGCCCCCCACGCCCCTGTGGCAGCTGGTCCTGCTGCCTCCCCTCTGCCCCCAGCACCCCGGGTAAAAACGGAGTGGGGAGAGGGGACTCGGCCCTCCAGGCACTGGTTTGACTGGGGGACACTGTCCGATGTGGTGGGGACACCCCCAGATGTGGTGGGGACACTGGGGACTTGCTCCTCCCAGGCCAGGGCAGGTTGGTGTCCCCTGTTTGTGCAGTGGGGTTTGAGCTCAGGGGTTTGGGGACGGTCCCTGCTGCTCTCAGGGTCCTGGCACAGGCACTGAGGGTGGCAAAGCTTCTGTAGAGCAACCAGGGGACAAAAATCTGCCATTGCCACTACTCCTGACCTGCAGCAGCCCAAGGCTCTGCAAGGTGGGTTTGTACCCATAAAAAACATCCTTGCCTTCCTTTGTCCTCCTCCCTTCCCCATGAAAGGGCAGCTGCCACCAGCTGTGGGCAGGTGGGTGATTTAAGGGTGATTCCCACATGGGAAAACAGGCGGGACTGGGGATTTGAGGGAGATTTGTGCAGCTCTGCCTGCTCACAGCTCTGCTTTGCTCCCTGGTGTCCCTGCTGCAGCTCAGCCTGCGGGTGAGTGATGCTCCAGACCTGAGTGCCGGGGTCAGCTGCCTCTTCGGGAACCTGAGCGAGGTGGAGGGGCAGGTGTCGGGCAGCCAGGTGGTTTGTGTGTCACCTGCAGCCAGAGATGTCCCTGCCATCCCCGTGGATCAGGGTGAGTGATGGCTCCTGGGCAGCGACACGGGGTCACACAGTGCAGGGCAGCTTGGGGAGCGTGGCCTGAGCCTTTGGGGCTGCTGCTGCAGAAATTCCTGCTGCTGTCAAAGCCTATTGAACCCAGGGACTGCATCCCTAGGAAATGCACCCCACACAGGGCACGATGGACTGGCAGCTGTGAGTGCTTGCCCTATCCTTCCTCCCTCCCTGTGCTGCCAGACAGCTGCCAGGGCAGGACAGGAGCCCTCTGTCCCCTGCAGGGTGGCTCAGGGTGGCCAGGAGCTCCCAGCCCTGCCAGATCAGGTGAATCTGGGAAGCAGGAATCTCCCCCAGGCCTGGCTCAGCACCACGACTAGGTGGCTGCAGTTTCTCTGTTTCAGTGCTGATCTCCTCATTAATGTCACCACTGTCATATTTTCTCTTCCTGTAACTGAAGCGCCACTGGCCTGGAGCTCATTTTCCCCCTGGCATCCTTCCAGGTGTCCTGGTGATGTCTTTGTGATTCTGAGGCATTTTATGGAGTCTGGGCCTTGAGGAACACTAGCCAGAGCCCAGTGGTAGCAGGGTCAGCACAGACTTCCCACAGCAGCCCCAAAAGAACAACCTGCTCTTAATTAACCCAGAGCTCAGGCTCCTGAAGAGCTCCACTGGTGCTTCACTCGTTTCCAGCAGTGGCTCCTTCTCTAGGAGATAATTCTGGGAGATGATGCCCAGGGAAGCTGTGGAGCCCAGTCCCTGGAAGTGGGTTGGATGGGGTTTGGAGCACCCTGGGATGGTGGAGGGTGTCCCAGCCCATGGCAGGGAGTGGCACTGGGTCTTTGAGGATCCCTTCCAACCCAAACCCTGACTCCATAATTCTGTTCCTGGGCTTTTTATACTGGAGAGTGAACCAGGGAACAGGGCAAGGTTCCAAAACCACTCCAAGGCAGCGTTTCCCCCACGTCTCTGATGCATTTTGCCATCAGGGCTGGTTTTTTGGAGGCGTTGCTGCACACGGGTACCCTGGGGGGCTCCAGGGCAGGGTGTGGGTGGGGGCCCAGGTGCTGGGAGATGAAAAGCCGAGCTCCCCCAGCTGCAGGTGGCTCAGTGGGCAGATCAGATCAGCCCGGGGGTGCTGCTGCTCCCCTCTGCCCTCGGGCAGCACTGACAGGCTCTGCTCTGTGTCCCCAGACTGGTTTGGTGTCGTGCTCCAGCTGAAGTCCCGGGAGACCGGCAGGACCTTCGTGAGCACCGAGTTCAAGTTCTACAACTGCAGTGCCCACCAGCTGTGAGTGCTCCGTCCCTACCCCCAACAGAGCCAAAATCCGGCCCAAAAGATTTGGGGAGTGGGCGCTGGGACTGGCCGGGGGGGTTGGCACAGTGCCTGGGGTCAGCACATACGGTGAGGGACAAGGGACGAGGGACGAGGGCAGGCACCTGCCCGGGGAGCGAGCTGGGAACAACCTCAACCTGCTGGGGAACAACCTGAGAGTGCTGGGGAACAACCTCAACCTGCTGAGGAACAACCTCAACCTGCTGGGAACAACCTGAGAGTGCTGGGGAACAACCTCAACCTGCTGGTGCCCCCAAGCTGTGCAATCCTGCAACTGAGAGCTGGGATAGGGAAGGGAGATGTGGGCAGAGGGAGGTGGGATGCAAACCATGAGAGGTGGGCTGCAGGAGGGGCCGGTGGGATGCAGCCCAGGCGTGTGGGATGCCCAGTGGAGGCTCCGTGGAGGGGCTCAGCTTTGCTGAGGATGCTGGAATCACATCCCCCCAGGCACTGGAAGGCAGCAGGCAGCTGGCCGGCCTTAAAAACACATTTCAGAGACGTGAAGCATTTATGGATTTGTGTCTGGAAACAAAGCAAGCTCCAGCACTGTGGGCAGGACCTGCCAGCAGCTGGGTGGGGGTGGCAGGGCTGGGAGATCTCCTGGGGCAGGGGACACTGCTGGAGTCACCGAGTGCCAGCACAAGGTCACTCCCAACCTGCCTGTGCTGGGTTTGAAGCCTCAAGCTCCAGGGCCTTTCCTGCTGCACTTGGAAGAGGGGTTGTGTGTTTGTGTGCTCACGGGCTTGGCTGGCCTCTGGTTTTTCTAGGCAGGCATTCGTTTTTAATTTAAATTTTGTTGTGAGCCACAGCACAGAGCAGAGGGACGGGGATGACAGGGAATCCTTCATTCCCCTGTGCTGCCTGTGGGATCCATGTCCATAATCCCAATGATTCCTGTCCTGCTGCCCCTCATGCAGAGCTGTGTCCTCAGCTCCGTGTCCCTCTGCCAGGCTGTGCAGCACCAGCAGCACTTGCAGTGTCCCCGGGCTCCTCTGCATTCTCCTGCTTTGGAATCTGCCTGAGGAATGGGAATTCCAGGCACCCCTGTGCTCAGGGAGGAGCTGAGGTTTGGATCAGGAAAGGTTGTACATCCCTCCTGGGCTGTCAGAGGTTTGGATCAGGAAAGGTTGTACATCCCTCCTGGGCTGGCACTGGCTGTGCCTCCCCTGTTTGTGCCTGGAGATAAAGTGCTCACAGGGTGCTAAATTCTGCAGCACTTACCTCACTCCAGACTCGTTATCACAGGGTTCAAGGAGGGCACAGCCAGCCTGGCAGGAATGAATCACGGCCAGCAAAAAGGAGGCAGAATCCAGGGCTCAGGCAGCAGAGAGATCTATTGATCCTGATCTATTGATCCTGAGCTCTGTGCTGCAGTGCTGGGTGTGTGGGGAGCCAGGGGAGCCCTTTGGGGCATCTCACACACACCCCTGGGAGGTGACACGGGGAGGGACACGAGGGATTTGGGGATGGCCAGGAAGGTCCTGGGGACCCTCCTGTGGTGTTGAGACCCCATGGGCTGGGGTGGTTCAGGGCTGTGGATTCTGTGTCCCCAGCTGGGACAGGGAACCTTCCCTGTCAAGTGTCTGTTAGTAAGGACCTGGTGAGGGGGAGAGAGGAGCAAAGGAGACAATGACCCTTGGGAAAGCTGGGCTGGGGTGAAAGAGCCAAGGTGGTGACCTGGTGTGAGTCTGGGAGCTCTGGATCCTGCTGGGATCCCTTGTCCTGCAGCCAGGTCTGGGGAGAGCTGGAAGCAACAGCAGGAAACCACAGAAACCACGGAACAGGGAGAGGAGCCAAACCCAAACCAAACTAAATCCAAACCAAATCCAAACCAAACCACAGCCCTGCCTGGGTGACCAGGGAGATCCTCCTCCCTCAGAGGAAGAGCTGGGAGCTCCCCCAGCCCCTGCTGGGAATGCTGGAGGCCAGGCCAGGTGAGGTGAGGTGTTACAGACCCCAACAGGGACAGAAATGGGTCAGACATGAATGAGTAATTAAACAAGCTCGCTGCACTCGGTGTTCTCCCCCAGATCTGCCTGTGCATGATTAGAATGAGCTAATTAAGGTCACCAGGAATGCACCAGGAGAGCACAGTTGGGTCATTGGAGCTCGCTGTGGTGCAGCAGCTCACGAGAGCTGTGCCCTGGTCCCTGTGCCCAGCTGGCACACAGAGAGCCCTGCCTGCAGAGCTCCATGCCTGAGGCCACGCTTCCACCTCCCTGGTGACATTTGTCTTTCTGCCCTGGCCTTGCTCCAGCACATCCCCGGGCTCTTCCCTCTCCAGGCAGTGCCCAGTGCTGGAGCCACGGGCTATGGCATGGGACTGGATCCATGGGCACAGCTGATCCTTGTGCCACCAAGAGCTGCCACGTGGCAGCAGGGATGGCCCCGGAGAGGGAGGAGGTGGCAACTGCCAGGACCAGCAGCTGTCACAGCTTGTGCATCTCTGTGGCAGCAGCAAGTGGGGAACAAAACCCACCCAGCCACTCTGCTGGCAGCTGGGTCCCCTGGGGCTGAAAAGGGTCTGTGTTCTTTCAAAAACATTTCATAAACAGGTTTTTTTTTTTTTTTTTCCCCAACATGAATCAAAAGCACTTGCTGGACCCTCTGCACTCCAAGGCCAGAAGTGTGGCTGTTGATTGAAGCATTCCTGACTTTTGGAACAACTGATCCCATTTTTGCCAGGCTTGCCTTCTTTCCTAGAAACTAAAACCCAAGCCTGGTGCTTGTGCACCGCCCTGCTCTATTTTACACCAATGCAGTGATGTGCAATAAATCCCAGCTTGCATTTTACTGTGGAATAAATGGTGAGGCTGCCCCCAGTCTGCCTTTTGAGCGTGTGTGCTTTCCCAAACCTGCTCCTTGGTTTTTGCTATATCAAAACCACCCCCCCACCAAATAAATTCTTTTCCCAGGAAGCCTGGATTTCTGGCAAGGCCTGGAGGTGCCTGCAGCCCTGCCAAGGTGCTGAGCCCTGTGCTAACCCCTCCTTTCCCCCCAGGTGCCTGTCCTGTGTGAACAGCGCCTTCCGCTGCCACTGGTGCAAGTACAGGAACCTGTGCACCCACGACCCCACCACCTGCTCCTTCCAGGAGGGACGGATCAACGTCTCCGAGGTACCACACTGGCATTCTTCCCTTTATCCTTTGCTTTTCCACGCCACAAGCAGCACAACCCATGTTCATGTGAGCCTTGCTGGCTTCCCGGGGGTCTCTTTGGTGACAAAAAGTGCAGATGCAGCTTTAGAGCAGGGAAGTGTTGGTGTCACTAAAGTGCTGCTCTTGACCTGAACACCAGAGCTGATCCCTCCCCTGCTGTGTGGGAATGCCCAGGTTCATTAATTACAATAATTACTGCGCTGCTTTCCCCCAGAGACTCCTCAAACCCAGAGCTTTTCAGCATCTCTGCTTTGCAGCCCCAGCACGGAGGGCTTGGCTTTGTGTGGCTGGGGCTGGGATTGATGGCCCGAGCCTGACTGTGAGGGAATTACCAAAATATACAGCCCAGGTTTTGGAAAAGGGAGTTGGTTTGGGTTCCAGCACCGTGGACCCGGAGCCATCTCTCTTAGCAGTTCATAAAAGGTGTGGGGCTCCCATCCAAAAATGCTTTTAACACTTGGAAAGGCACAGCCCGTGAATGGCTCTGCCAGCTCTCCTGTGAGTCCCAGGGCAGAGGGATCCATGGAGGAAAGGGGTTTGTTAGCACAAATTCCTGATTGAACACTGCCAGGAACCCTTGGTCTGGGGTTTCTGCACTCCTTGTCCTGCCTGCTCCCCCTGCTTCATCTTCACGAGGTCCTGATGCTGGCAGGGTCCTGGTCTTTGCCCTCCCTCTTCCTACCATTAGCTTTGTAGCACCTGAAATGAGTGCAGCTCCTAAAGCTGCAAGGGAAAAATGGTTTAAAAGATGCTCTGGAGATCCTGAGAGTCCTGGGAAGTGGCAAAGGCAGCAGTGAGGACACTACAAATATGAGAAAAGGAAAGGAGAGGAAGGTGTGCCAGTATCCTGACAAATCCTTGCCGGTGGGTGATGGAGATTGAGAAAAGCAGAAGAGATCAGTCAGTGGTGTAAGAACTGAGTTGTCAAAAAGGAGTGACTGAAGGTTTCTCCAGGGTGCTGCTAAACTAGGAATAAACTCTGCTCTTGTGTCTTGCTGGCTAAAATTCTGCCAGGAGATTCAGAGGTAAAGGGGAGAGTAATTCCTGAGCTGTGTAAGGACCTGGGTGGGAATCTGCAAATCCAAGGCTGGACAGGGTGCCAGGATGGGAATGGGTGCCCAAGGAGCAGCATCCACCCCAGGAACGAACCAAAGCTTTCTCCATCCAGCTCAAAGTCAAGAAATTTCCTTTTACCATATCAAGAGAAAGCAAAACCCTTTGCTTCTCCTCCTCTTGAGTGATTGGGGTGTCTCTCCTGCACACTCAAAGCATCCCTGTCCTCCCAGCTGCACAATTGGAGTTCTCTGGGTCTCCAGCCCCGGGGTCTCAGGAGTGTCTGACAAGTCCCTGCTAAAGTAGGACAATCCCATTATCTCTCTTTTCCTCCTGGGAGCACCCAGGACTCGCCTGAGATCACACAGAGGGAGAGAGTGGAGGAGTTGGTATCTCTGGAAGTTCCTGCTGGGATCACAGGGCTGTCGTGGCTCCAAAGAACTTCCTCTGTTGTCCTCGTCTTGCCGAGGTTGTTTTTTAGCAGGGGATGTTTTGGGATATCTCTCTCACACCTTCCTGGTGGTTAGTTTTGATAAACGCTGATGATAATGATACAAGTGCTCTGCTGTCCATCATTTCTTCCCCAGAGCTCTGAGCACAGGCAAAAACCATCCCAAATAAATGTGTGTGCTTATTTAAGAGCCATGAATTTCCTCTCCACACGCAGCATGGTGATAATGCCTTTGCTACGGGCTCTTCACTAACACAGAAATGAGTAAATGCCTCGTGAAGAGTTTCCTCTCCTGCACCAATTCAGATCACAATGTTCTCATTGTGTCACGGCCTGATGTATTAGGAAATTGTTTGTGCTTAGCCTGGCTCCCTCCCCAGCAGAGCCAGTGGTGTTTGGAGCCGGTGATCTCCGTGTCTGTGCCCTACTTTCAGTCCCCTGTGCCTCTCCTTACGTAAGGTTTACACACGTGTTCACACGGGCCTGCACATTTGCTCGCATCTTTATATTTAATTCAAGGGAAAAATATCTTGAATATTCCCTTTTACTCCTGGCCCATCAGAATTGGCGTCCCAGTGGGATTGGATGTGTAACGAGCTCCCTTTGATGCTCCCCGGAGTGTCTGTCTGGAGGAGGAACGGGAGCTCAGAGCCACTTCAGGAGGAGATGGGGGAGAGAAATTCCCTCTTCATGAGCTGTGCTCTTGCTCCTCGCAAGCTCCTGCCCCTCCTGACCGAGCCAAACTCTGCCTCTTAGCCCTGCCTTCCATGAAAACACAGCCCAGAGAGATTTTCTCATCCCTGCACCTGCCCTGCCAGCAGGAGCTGCGTGCTCAGATCCAAGGGCAGAGCTCAGGGACAGGTGTGGGGGTGCAGAGGGACCCCCAAAGGTGGGTGGGTGCTTTAGGAAAAGCGAAAATGTGGAACACATTGTGGTTTGGGGTCACTGGTAATGAATGCAGAGCTTTTCACAACCCTTAGAGCAGAGGACAGAGCTGGCTGCTCCTGACACCCTCCTTGTCGTGGGAATTTCTGAGATGGGGGAGCCCAGCTCCTCTGGGTCTCCATTTCCAATTCTTCAGGAGTTAATAATTAGAGAAGCAATTATCTTTCCATCCTTTTCATGGTCAGTCTTCACTGGCAGCAGAAGGTGCCTGCTCACACCTTGCTCCCACTAAATCAGGATTTCTCCAAGAGATCCTCGTGGCTGTGGAGCACTGATTGTCCCATTTTACAACTCCAGATCAAGCCAATGATTCCATTTTAATGTGTCTGATGTGCTTTGGTCTGTGTGTGTGGGAGGTTTTATGATGTCTCTCTCTAAATGTCTGAAACTTCCAGATGAGGAGGAATGTGGATACATAAACATCCTTACACCCCATCCCAGAGGAGAGCTAGAAGCAAATAAATCCTCTTAGCTCCCCAGAATGTGGGAGCCCATCCCTCTTTGATGTCCAGGGTGTGCTGATAATGCCATTTCCACAGGAGGGACGCTGATCTGGGCACAGAGAGTTTCAGATTCGGGGATTTCAGTGCCTGGTGTCTCCTTTGAATTCCCACGGATTTTATGGCACCGCCCTTGCCCCTGGCTGTGCCCTTGGGTGCTGAGTGCTGCTTGATGTGCCTTGAGGGAAACAAAACAAAATCAGCCCATCCTCAATCCTGTCCTGACAATCCCCATGGCAGGAGGGCTGAGATGTGCCCGAGGTGACTCAGAGCCACAGCTGAGGCCACCAAAGCCAGCCAAGGACTGCAGGGTCACACCTGACTCCGGAGAGATGGCTTTGCCTGAAATAGGAGCAAAAATCCCGGTTTCAGCAAAATCCCCTCAGCTCTGAGCTGTGGCCAGGCTTTTTCCATCCCCGGTGTGGATGTTTGGTGCTGGGAGGAAGGAGCCAGCTGGGGATGGGCTGCAGGGAGATGTTCCTGCCTCTCACCTGTCCCTGTGCCAGGGACCTGCTCCCGTCCTCACCTCTGGCACACAAAGGGTTGTTCACAGCAGGGAAAGGTTCCCTCCATGGCTGTAAATATCCCAAATTAATGGAGAGGACCCAGGTTACAGCACGTGCCCGGCTCAGGGTAATGGTGTGGGGAAGGAATTCACCAGGCTCGGCTCCAGCTGCCTTTCTTTCAAGTCTGGTTTCTAAGGAACGGGGTCTGCTCTCCTTTCCAGTGGCATAAATGAAGGATAATGTGTTTCCATGAGTGACAGGGACTGTAATTTATATCATTGGGAACACAACTGTGAACCAAGGGTTTACATTCACGTGCCAGATTGGGTTATGTTTATAACTTTAAAATAATGTGTAGCAAGTTAACATTTGTGGAGAGTTTGCGGGGGTTTTTTGAAGATGAAAAGTACAAAACCAGTCTATTTTCTGCCGTTTGGGCTAAATCCTGTAGTCAGAAGAATTGCCTGCCATTTCTAGGCAATTTTTTTTTTTTTTTTTTCCCAAATAAGAGCAAGGAGGTTTGACCTACTAAAACTGCTCGGTTAAACACAAATAATAACCATGGGTGCTCTGTTCTGCTCCAGAGACAGCTGCAGAACGCGGGTCTTTAAGGTATTTATAGACCTTGGAGTCTTTGAGGCTAAAAAGTGTTGGAGAAGCATAAAATGTCTTTGTAAATTGTGTGTGCTGATACTTCAGAGGCAGAATATTCCCCGAGAGTCTGTGCCACTCAGGCAGCGGAGCCTTGTCTTCCTGCAGCAGATCTGATCCGTGTTTATTCTGGCTCGGGGAAGTCAAGGAGGATAATGAGAGCATTCTGCGTGTTTGTTTAGCGAGAGGAGGCAATAATGGCCTTTCTAACTCGCTGCAGGATTTACCTCTCATGAATTAAAAAACAAAGTAAACTGATTATGGAACAAGTTGTGTATTCCACCGCCTCTATTCGGTGTTTTCTGGGTGTTCCTCTCAGGATGGGGCTCCCAGGCTGAGCCTGGCAAAGCCAGGGCACTTTGGGACCTTGGCACAGAGCTGAGCCCCAGAGAGGGGCTGGAGCTGCCAACCCCTTCCCATCTCCTGGGAAATTCCCCTAAAGGGGATCAGCATCCAGGCTGCTGATAAACCCCTAACAAAATCATTTATCTGAACTTTGTCTTTTCCCACCGGGGAGCAGCTGGGACAGGTGATGGGGGACAAACCACCCTGCCAGGCTGATCTCCTGCAGCAGCACCCACGGGAGAGGCAAAAAATCCCCACACGGGGGCTGTGGGATGGGGCTGTGTGTGCAGGGATGTGGGGTGCAGGGATTGGGTGTGCAGGGATGTGGGGTGCAGGGATGTGTCTGTGCAGGGATTGGGAATGCAGGGACATGGGATTTCAGGGATTTGGGGTGCAGAGATGTGACTGTGCCTGGATATGGGTGCAGAGTCAGGTTTTCAGGGATTTGGGTGAAGGGATGTGTCTGTTCAGGGATTTGGGTGCAGGGACGTGTCTGTGCAGGGCTGTGGGTGCACATCACTGCGGCAGCAATTTAAAAAAAAAAACAAATTGGAGAAAGAGAAGCCCTGGAAGCTGAGCAGAGGCTGGGAATGGCTCACAGGGGCTCCACAGGACGTGCAGGGTCCGACTGACCCCAACCCTCCCCAGCCCAGGCAGCTCCACTCGCTCAGCTGAGAAATTCAGAGTGAGTGCCTGCCTGCAGCAGTGTGGCTCCCCACCAGCATCCTGGCTTTTCCAGAGTTTGGCATCTTCCTCCAGATCTCTCCATCCCAAAATGTGGGTCCCTATTCGTGTCAGCCAGCACGGAGGGGCCCCCTCGCTCCTGCTCGGGCTGTGCCTGCCTCGCCTTCCACAAATCCCAATGTGACATTTCCCTTCCACTGGAACCAGAGGAATGGAAAAAAAAAAAAAAAATTAAAAAAAATCTATTTTGCCCCATTCGTCCCTAATGATGGCAGAACAATTTTTGCTGCCAACATTTTCAGCACCAGGGAGCAGATCCGGGAGTGGGAGTCTGGGAAGGCAGGAGCCCTCCTTTAGCAGTCGCCTCACGGACAGAGCTGGCCAGGAAGGATAATGGTCCATAACATATTCATTATTTTCAGGACTGTGCGCTGAAGTTCTCCCACTGGTGATGCAAGTGGAGATTTTTTTTTTTGTTTTCAGCCATAACGGGGTAAAAATTCTGCAGTTCCAAGTTCATTTTCCTTCCAATCCACGGGGCTGGGCACCCCTCTGGAGTGCAGCCACTTGTCCCCTGGTGGTCCTCGATGTGACTTGGAGGTGAAATGTAAAACCTTAAATGCAGGCAGGTGTTGAGTGGAAGGTGGCACAGGCGTGTGGTGCTTCAGGAGAGGAAGGGATGGGCAGAGTCAGCTTGGAAGAGCTGGATGGAAAACGCTGTGAATGCAGGGAGTTTGCTGGTGGTGAGCTGGGAGTGGATCCACAATCCCAGGGTCAGTGGGAAGCAGGGAATGCCATCCCCTTCCAGCCTGTGACTCCACTCCACTGCAGGAAAAGGCTTCCCTTCCCTCTCCAGAGCAGCTGATGGAGTTTGAAATCACTCTTGGCTGTTAATCCGTGAAAGTCCCTGTTAGAAATAAAATAAAATATATATAGGGAAAAGTGCCACTGGAAAGGTTTATGAGGCTGCAGTTTAAGTTAGTGGCTCCTCCAGACCAGGGGAGCATCTGTTCCTCATTTACAGCTCGCCTGAGCCAGTGCTGAAACAACTTCCCATGGTCCTGGCTGGAGCTGGAGGGGGAGCCTGGCTTGGGGAAGGGAGATTTTCCTGGTGGGATCCTGTCCTGGCACTGCCACCAGCATGATTTCCTTTCATCCTCAGGCTGGGGGGCAAAGGGCTCGGGATGCCAGTCTGGGATTTGGCAGAGGGAATGGACACGTGTTTGTTCTAAACTCCTGCTTTAGCCTGGGATTAATCATTCAGTGTCAGGTACTTAGGTACCTTGTTCCATTAGATCAAAGCAAATTAGAGCTGAGCAGAATGTAAATACAGCCGATGGTCAGAGCCTTTGTCTCAGCGTGTTGCAGTTCCCGGTGTAGGAATTGAAGAAAAATTGAATTTCCCAGTGTGTTGTGCAGAGATAATGTTTGGGATGTTGAGATCTCAGGGGAGGGATGTCACACAGTTACCAGGAGCTGATAAGTCATTTTTTTGTGGTCCATCTCAGGGTTTATTTAGACATTTGGTTTGTGCTTGGGCGAACTGGAGATCCGTTCTGCCGTGCAATGGTGTTTCACAGAATCACAGATGGTTTGGGTTGGAAGGGATCTTAAAAATCATCTCATTCCACCCCCTGCCATGGGCAAGGGACACCTTCCACCATCCCAGATTGCTCCAAGCCGGCCTTGGACACTTGCAGGGATGAATTTTAAGTTCCTTCCACCCAAACCATTTTGTAATTTGGAGATAGAAGGGGCAGTTCAGGTCAGATGCTTTGCCCACCCTGCTTGGCAGAGGCACAAATCCCACCCAGACACTCCTGAGCCCAGGAAAACACCAGCCATGCCTGGTACAGGAGCTGCTGGGAGATTCAGGAAGGCAGAGGTGGTGGAGCATGGAGAGGAGTGAGAGCAGATAGAGCAGAACTGAATGTCACCTCGGAAATTAATGAATGGCACCTTGGGCTAATTTCACTGAGATAAAGCAGAAGAGTGCCTGGTGAGAGGGAAGCACATCCTGGGCTGATCCATCTCTGCTGCACGAGGGGTCTGAGGGGTGAAATGGGATCAGGAGAAGCCCCTGTGGCTGGGGGCAGCCTGTGCCCCCCTGGAGCAGGGGGCTCAGCAGGGCTGGGGCAGCTGATAAAGGGCTGAGCTCCTCGGGAGGGGCAGCAGGAGCTGCTGGCTCTGCAGATAAAACCCGTGGGAAGCTCAGAAAGGGGAGGACACCTTGGATTTATCCCCAAAGAGGGTGTCCCTCCCCGAGCAGCTGCAGGGAGGAAATCAGTGCCAGCCGCAGGGCACAGGGGGGTTCTGTGTCCCTGCACTTCACCTGCAGCTGCAATGGGGAGTGGCAGCTCCTGGGCAGCTCCTGGGCAGGTTCTGGGCAGGTTCTGGACCCTGAGGATGTGCTGGGACATCGGCCCAGACCTGGCCACACCTGCAGCTCCACTGATGCCTTGTCAGGCTCCCTAAAAACACAGGCCAGACAAAATGAAGAGAATAAAAAGCAGTTTATTTCTATTTATTGAAGGGCCTTCAGGTACATTTAAGGCAGATAAAGCCCCCAGGGGCTACACCCAAAATGAACAATGGGTCACAGGTTTTCACACTTTTATTGGTTTGGTCCATTTGCATATTGGGGGTTAATCTTGCAATTACAGCTTCAGGTAATGAGGTCATTCACCCCAAGTTTTCTCCCGCCCCAAGTCACTTTTATTTACATTTCTCAGTGCCTGAGGCAGTGAGGTGTCCTTGATTGCCAGCCTGGAGGGGAATTGTTGTGTCTGCCCAAAATGGGAGAGCAGCAGCTCACACTGGAAATGGAGTTCAGAGTTAGACACTGAAGAACTGCAGGATTACAAACATACGAAAAACATAAAAATATAAAACATATGAAAAATATAAAAGCTGAAATCCCAAGGCATCACCCCACCCATAACCTGCCACCTTCCCTCCTTTTCTCGCAGGACTGCCCCCAGCTGTTCCCCACGGAGGAGATCCTGATCCCGGTGGGAGAGGTGAAGCCCATCACGCTGAAAGCCCGGAACCTCCCCCAGCCCCAGTCGGGCCAGAGGGGCTACGAGTGCGTGCTCAGCATCCAGGGCATCATCCACAGGGTGCCCGCCCTGCGCTTCAACAGCTCCAGCGTGCAGTGCCAGAACAGCTCGGTGAGAGCAGGGCTGGCAGCTCCAAACAGCCCCGGGCAGCGGGGAAAATCTCCCTAATCCTGGATGCCAGGTGGGAGAATGCCCGAGAAAAGGGAGGAGATGCCGCATCTGGAGGGTCCTGGATGCTGGTGGGGGGTCAGAAAGGGAGGAGGAGGAGGAGGAGGAGGGAATTCAGGAGGTGTTAAGGCAGGCTAATTCACACACGGGGAGATAAGGAGAATCACAGACCCCTTATCGGGGAGCTGTCAAATCCCAGGTCACGCTGCTGGATGAATAGAGCAGCGCTGGAGAGCAGGGAAGGAGGGGGAAAGGGGAACTGCCAGGGAAAAGAGCAGAGCATGGGAGAGGGGAATCACCTCAAGGGAGAAGGGAATCACCCCAAGGGACAGGGAATCGTCCCAAGGGACAGGGGAATCACCTCAAGGGAGAAGGGAATCACCTCAAGGGACAGGGAATTGTCCCAAGGGACAGGGGAATCACCTCAAGGGACAGGGAATTGTCCCAAGGGACAGGGAATTGTCCCAAGGGACAGGGGAATCACCAGAGTGATGCTCCCAAGGAGCAGGGCAGGATATTTCTCCTCCACAGGACAGGGCTCAGCCTCACCACGGATACCCCAGGGCACCCCAAAGTCACCCTGGTGGGTCTCTTGGGATGCCAAAACACAAATGGCAAATACAGGCACCCCCACCCTGATCCACAGCCCAAATTTGGGTTTTTTGTGTCCCTCCACAGCTGGGGGACGAGCAGGGACAAGCGTGGTCCTTGCTCTACTCCCCATGTGCTGGGAAAGGGCCCCGGGCAAACAGGGCACAATCACTTTGTTTTAGGCAGCACAACAGGGTCCACTTGAATATTCAGTGCAGATGGTCTTAAATTGTTAATGAAGTTTTGAATTTTTAAAAGTTTTACTGGGTATTTATACGTCGCTGGCCATCCTTGGGCCTTGCAGCTTGGTGGATAATAAATGTATTAATAGTACCTAGTACTTCTCCTATCCAGAGTGATTTATAAGCATTAGAGAAGCACTTTTATTGCTGTTGGGCTGATAGGAAGTGGTGGAGGGAGGATGTGGGGGCCATTCTGGGCTCACAGCTTCTTGTTCCACACCTGCTTAGTAAAACCCAGGCAGGGTGAACCAGTACAGTCAAACATGAGTTAAAACTGCACAGGCAGAGCAGTCTGCCCTGCTTCCATCACCATTCCCTCATCCCAGAGAGGATGGCAATGCTCACTCACCCTCTGAAGTCTTTGTAGCAGCTCTTGGTTGACCTAAAGAGATCACCAGAGTGAGACCTGGCCAGTGGTGGGTGTGAAAATGGGAATTTCAGCATTCCCTGGGAATTCAGCCTCACTCACAGCCCCCAGGATGTCCATGAGAAGGGGAGTAACTCAAGCCAGTCCTAGAGCAGGCTGGAACAGTGGCTGGGGCTCTGCACCATCTATTGCTGCTCAGCTGTTTCCTGCTCCACCTGCAAAGCTCTGCAGTGGGATTTTGGGAGCTCCCAGTCACACTGGGATGCACAAACTGGGCAGGAAGCAGCCTGAAGGCAGCAGTCCCAGTCTGGTTAACCAGAGGGGCTGTGTTGGTGAGCCAGAGACTTGAGTGATGAGAGCAACCACTGCGAGTGGAATAATTAATGTGTTACCTCTCACAAGGACTAGATCTGATTTAATTATCTCTTCCTGGTGAGGAGAAGGGACTCAAAGCAGAACCCTGGAGATCGAGTGTAAAAATGTGGTGTCTCAGGCACCAGCAGATGTTTTTAAGCAGAGAATTAAGATGGTTTCTCTTCAAAATCCCTCTTTGTGTGTGAGTGTTGTCTGCCAAGCTTTTCACTGTGGCTCTCCCCCTGCAGTACCTCTATGATGGGATGGACATCAGCAATTTGGCAGTGGACTTTGCCGTGGTTTGGAACGGGAACTTTGTCATTGACAACCCGGAGAATCTGAAAGGTAAAATCTGCAGGGACTGGCTTCAGACATGGGTGGGGGGTGCTGGAGAGGGGCTGTGGGGGCAGAGAGCCCTGAGGATCACCCTGAGCAGGACAGCAGCTCCCTGCAGGGCTGCTTTTGGAATCCACCTGTGCAGGGGCACCTGCAGCTTGGGGAGCCAAAACTGAGCTCGTGCTCTGGTGGGCAAATCCAGGAGCAGCTGTACCTGAGGGAATCCCTCAATCCCAGCTCAATCCCGAGGGAATCCCTCAATCCCAGCTGTGTCCTGAAGGAATACTCCAAGGGAATCCCCCAGTCCCAGCTGCACCCCGAGGGAATCCCCCAATCCCAAATACACCCCAATGGGATCCCCCAGTCCCAAATACAACCCAGTGGGATCCTCTAACCTCAGCAGCACCCCAATGGGATCCCCCAATTCCGAATACACCCCAGTGGGATCCCCCAGTCCCAAATACACCCCAATGGAATCCCGAGTCCCAAATACACCCCAATGGGATCCCCAGTCCCAAATACACCCCAATGGGATCCCCCAACCCCAAATAAGCCCAGTGGGACCCCGCAGCACCCCAGGGCTCCCCCTCCCTGACGCGCCCGCCGTGCCGTGTCCCCGCAGTGCACCTGTACAAGTGCGCGGCTCAGCGCGAGAGCTGCGGGCTGTGCCTCAAAGCCGACCCCAAGTTCGAGTGTGGCTGGTGCAGCGGCGAGGCCAAGTGCACCCTGCGGCCCCACTGCGGCTCCCCCTGGCTCGACTGGTCCAGCCACAACGTCAAGTGCTCCAACCCGCGCATCACCGAGGTGAGCCCGCGCTGCGCCAGCCTGCTCCTCCCTTCCTCCCTCCCTCCTTCCCTCCTTCCCTCCTTCCCTTCTTCCCTCCTTCCCCTGGCTGAAAATCCACCCAGCTCTGGGATAAAACACTCCGGGACTTTCTGGGAAACCACTGGCACCTGGCCAGGTGTGCAGGCGCTGGCCCACGGGCAGCTGGCACTCGCCACGCGTGCCACCCGCGCCGGGGTGACCGCCACGGGCTGTTCAGCGGGAATGCTAATTAAACCAGGGAGATAATTAGTGTGGAGTTGGTGCTTCTGATATTTCAGTGCAGCTCACTGAGGGACGCACAATGTGTCCCAGGAGCATTTTCAGCAGTGAAGCTGCACTCGCTCTGTTAGCGCTGCTGTGAGGAGTGACGCTGCTATCAGGTGGGAATGGAGGAAGGTTTGGGTTTCTCACTTAATTAAATCCCCCCTCCAAAAAAGCCTCCCTTGCCCTGGGTGTGTATCCACACCGCAGAAGGATCAGAGTTGTCTGTCACAGCAATGCTGGTGGCAGGGCTGCTCAGCACCCAAAATCTGCCAGCTGAATCAGAACCCAAGTGAGTGTGGAAGTCTCCTCTTAAATTAAATTAGTTTCTGCACTGGTTTAACTAAACTGGCTCAGATCCCGTGGGAGGGAGGCATCAACTCCTTCAGTGGAGGAGAGGAGGAAGCACAGAGGCTGCTGCTGTGTCTGGGCTGGGGGGGCTGACAGGAGAAGGATGCTGCTGACGAGGGTCCGTCCATCCTCAGGGATTTTACCAGGTAATACCTGGGACATTTTGGTATTTCTGCCTTAAGCCTTCTGCCCAACAGTGTTATATCTTTGCTGGGCAGGTTTATCTCCCATGCAGGTGTTTCTCTAGTGCAGGTGTTTCTCTTGTGCAGGTGTTTCTCTTGTGCAGGTGTTTCTCTAGTGCAGGTGTTTCTCTTGTGCAGGTGTTTCTCCTCTAGTGCAGGTTTTTCTCTTGGCAGTGTTTTTTTTTTTTTTGTACAGAGCAGAGTGGAGCTGGTGGGAGGTGCTGGGGCTGGTTGTGCAGAAATGGGAAAGCATTAAAAAGTGTTGGAAGCCTCTCCTTTCCCTGCTCAGTTGGTCTCTTTGTTCTCCAAGTCTCAGCTGTCCTACCAAGAGATAAAATGATCCTTAAAGGCTTCCCTGGGTATTCTCCTTGCCCTGCCACTGGGCAGAACCCAATTTTCTCTTGCCCAAGTGCTGTTCTGCTGCACGAGGTTATGCTACAAGAAGCAAAACAGCCTCTTCTGAGATTTGCTCCCCCATAAACCATGCAGAAAGTTGTCAAGTCGAAGAAATCTTGGAATTATTTCTCTGCCCCTCCTTGAGCTGGGCAGAGCACTCTGAGCTCCAGCCACCAAGTGACTTGCATGAGAGCAGTGCCAGGCTGGCTCTGGCAGCTGGCTGCAGGCAGGGCACTGCCACCAAGTGTTTTATCACTGTCCAACTTGAAAGCAATACTTTTGGGCTCTGTCCAAGGAGAAAAGAGCAGAGCTCTGCTGTTGCAGATTTCTTGACTCCATCCCCAGGTCTGTGTCTCAGCCCTCAGAGTGAGACTGTGGAGGAGACCACGAGACCTTCCCAGCTTTCGTTGCTGTTGGGTCCTTTCCCAAAATCTGAATTTTCTCAGGGTTTTGGGAACCATTTTGCAATGCCCCGTGCTGCTGAGCTGTACAGGTGGGAGGACACCCTGACCTGGCCTTGGCACCAGAGCTGGCACTGGGGACACGTCCCCCGTGCCCTGGGCACCAGCAGTGACAGGACTGGGGAGCAAGGGTTTGTTCTCATACTGGAGATCACACTACAGCCTGGATTACCCAGAGTAAAAGAGCTTTAATAAGGGCTGGTTTCTGCTCCTCCTGCTTCATCTGGCCAGGTTGACTCTTTGTGACAAGCCTGAGGTCAAGGGCTTGGCTCCCAGGCGCCAGTGCCTTCGGGAGATGCATAAAAAAGAATATCTTGTGTCTTAATAGTTCTAAAAGTAAATGAGCAGAGGGGTATTTGCAATCCTTTGAGTGAGAGGCCCAGCCCTCCCCAGCAAAGCCCCCTCAGCAGCTTAAAACTTCCACCCGGCCTGTGGCCTTAGCAATAAATAAATAAAAATCAGTTTCTGGCGAACAAGCGGCGCTCTGATCTCCTATTCATTTATTTGCAGGCCTCATTAATATAACATCAGTGCAACAAACAGCTGAAGGGGGGGCAGTGTCAGGCTGAATAATGGAGTTGCTCTGCTGAGATAACAATTAGGTTCTGAATGTGCCATCAGCTGAGGCACAGACAAGGAGGGATCACGCCGGGATGACAATGCTCGTGTGCTGCTTCCCCGCTGGGCTCATCAGCTGGGATCCAGAGCAAAAAAAAAAAAGCACAAAAAGGATGAAGGTGGATGGGGTTTGGGGAGGGGGCAGGGGCTGTGCCATTGGTTGGGTGCTCTCTCTGCACCCGAACAGATGCCAAGGGGGTGATGTGCAGGGCTTGTGGCTTCCCTCCAGCTCTGCAGGGAAAGCCCCAGCAGCTCCCAGGTAGCCCCAGCTCAGCTCCCAGGTAGCCCCAGCAGCTACCAGGTAGCCCCAGCAGTTCCCAGGTGGCCCCAGCTCAGCTCTCCCTGGCTCCTCACTGATTTCTTCTGCAGGCAAAATGTGGCTTCATGTTAGAAACTCTGAAAGATTCGAGCAGCCAGAGGTGACACTGAGAATATTTATCCCTCATTGTTGGAGCTGTGTCTTCTGCAGGCTGGGAGGGGAAGGGTTCTAGCACTGGAATGGGGCTCCTGGATCCCTGGGATCCTTGGATTCCAATCTTGGGGATCCCTTGGACTCCAACATTGAGGATCCTTTGGATTCCAGCCCTGGGGATCCCCTGGATTCCAGCTTTGGGGATCCCTTGGATTCCAACTTTGGGGATCCCTTGGATTCCAGCCCTGGGGATCCCTTGGATTCCAGCCTTGGGGATCCCCTGGATTCCAGCCCTGGGGATCCCCTGGATTCCAGCCTGGGGGGTCCCTACCTTGGTTTCAAGTAAAAAGCAGCAATAAGAGAGGTGCTCTGGAGCATCTGCATCCCTTCCCTGGTCAAGGACAGGGTGTGGGGGTGACCGAGCTCCTGCCACCCCCCTCACCCCCGTACCCAGCCCATGTGCTGAATGACACAGTGCTGACACCTGCCCAGCCCTGCCCAGCGTTATTGCAGGGATTGGGATTTGCCTCGTGCAGTGGGGAGAGGTGACCTGCTCAGAATAATTCTGCCTCCCACACCTCGCTCACATCTCAGTGACTTTCAAGCTGCTTCAGTCTGGCAAACAACCTGAAAAAACTTCAGCAGAGGTGCAGATTTCTAAACAGCAAGTGTCCAGGTCCTGGTAATGGCCTGGCTCTTTCTCAGCTGCCCTTTGCAGGTCCTTTTCATCCTCCACAGAGCTCTAAGCTGAAAGCCAGTCTACTGAAGTGATTTTCTTGAAATTGGGGAATATTTCTTGCTAATCCTGTCTGTCTCAGATCAGAAATGTGGACTGGCAGCCCTGCAGCCTGGGCAGCTCCCAGCCCAGCTGGGATTAAGGCACACCATGGGCTGGCTGTGCTGCAGGTGCCTCATCCTCACCCCAGTGAGAAGCCCAGGGATGCTGCTCGGAGGGTCCCCAGCTCTGGGTGCACTGGGACCTTTAAGACTTATCTTCTTTCTGTGATTTTGACTGAATCTCTCCAGCTGTAATTAATTGAATGCATCTGTTCTAACCCTGGGGCTGCTTTATGGCACAGTTACTTCAAAACTGTTCAATTAGTGGCCACTAAAATCTAGGTCGAGTGGAGCTCCATATTGGGGATTTTCCAGGTCAGGACATTTTTAAAATACAGCATCAGCTCGGCTTTGTTCAGGGAGGCTGCTTGGCCCCTCTGCTTCTGCTCAGGTCAGGAAATGGCAAGTGGTGACTCCTTTATTTTGAGCAGTGATGAGACAACGAGCCCAGCAGAGTAAGTGCTCCAGTAAATGCATTTTAACATCATCCAGAGCTGCAAAGGACACTTGTAACTGTCAGGCAAGTTCAGGTGATTCCCAAGCAGTGATGTAAACACTACCAGGCCTCCAGGACTGGGGGTAACACAATCCAGTGTGGTTTTGTAGTGGGTTTATGGGCACATCGAGCTCACAGAGCTAAATGATACAAGACAGGCCATGGTGTGAGTTACAGGAGCAGCAGCACAACAGGCAGTGAGTGGTGAATAAATTAAAAACCTCCATCAGGTGGTGGAGGGGAGAGGCAGGTGGGAATTAAAGGATGAGGAGGAAGGAGGGAGTGGCTTGGTGGCTCTGGTGGGTGCATGGAGTTGGAATAACCTCAGCTTGTGTGGCCAAAAATGGCTCAGAATGCCCAGGGAAGTGCTGGAGTCACCCTGGCTGTGCTCAAAAACCAAATGGATGTGGCCACTGGTTTAGTGGGGATGGTGGGATTCCATCTTGAATGACTTTTTGGAGATGTTTTGGGGAAACTGGGAGCCACAGAAATGATGGGGGCAGGTCACTGGGATGTGGTGTCCTGGTGGCAGGGGTGTCTGGCCACCTTCCTCACTCCTGAGAAGGTGGAAAAAAAACAACCATCCATCTGGGAACAGCAAGGAAAAGGTTCTGAGGAGCTCAAGTGTTTTTGCCAAAGACAAGGGAGGAACAAAGAAGCGTAAACAAGATTTATCCATTAAATTAATTAAATTGCATTATTATGGATTGTGTTTATTTATTAATAACAGCTGCAGCACAGGGAAGATTAGAAACTCACCCAAGAGCAACAACAGAGCGGTGGCAGATTCAGGATAACTGTCTGAGAGTTCTGGGTCCAAATTTTGTGACTATGCATTATTGAAATTTATACTCCTAATTGAAGAGGAGATTGTCCTTAATGCAGGTCCAGGGAAGCAGGGATGATTATGGCTGAGGCAGGCTATAAACAGGCAGCTTGAAAGCACACACCTCACCCTTTTAACATTTTTAAGTCATTTGAGGTGCCAAGTCACTAATAAAATGTGACATTAACATTCAGAGAACAGCCAAGGCAGAGGTAAAGTTCTCCCAAGCACCAGGCTGCCTCTGGAAGGTGACTTACCTTGTTCTGGATGGAGGAGATGGGAGCCAGGTTTATCCTTCTGGACAATGGCACTGCCCACTCTTCTTGGCCAGCTCAGGGACCTTGGAGTCCTCCCTTGGAGCAGGGCACAGATGGATTTCAGCATCCTCGGGCTCCTCCAGGACATGCAGCAGAGCCACGAGGGGGTGGCCCTGGCTGGTGTGGCAGCAGAAGAATTTCCAAACCTGGGCTGGGACTGAATCACGGCGATGTCACTTCACCTTTCCCTGCCTTGTGCCTCCCTGCAGATCCTGACGGTGTCGGGGCCCCCGGAAGGAGGGACGAGGGTGACCATCCGTGGTGTCAACCTGGGTCTGGACTTCTCGGAGATCGCGCAGGGCGTGCAGGTGGCCGGGGTGCCGTGCACGCCCCTGCCCGAGCACTACGTCGTGGCCGAGCAGTGAGTGTCCCCTCAGCTGTCCCCACCTCTGCTCCCCTGGGCTGGGCACCCCACAGAGCCCCTCCCTGACCTCCAAAAACTCACCCAGAGCCCGGGCACTGCGGGAAGGGCTGTGAGGTGGCCATGGGAAGGGATTCCCACACATTCCCGCACTTTCCCACAAGCTGGACTCTCTCAGCAGGGGTTCAGCAGCCCTTTAAGCTTTCATTAAATGTTCTGCTTCCTTCCTGCTTGGCTAAGCACCTTTGCTGATGAGCACCTCGCTGCTGCTGCTGCCGAGCCTGCTCCCCATCCCACTTGGAATTCTGCCGGCACCGCCGGCTGCACGCAGCCATTTGTTAGGAGAGCGAGGCGCTGACAGCCCCGTAATCCGAGTGGGCCTCCACTGGAGTCAATTCATTTGTTTCACTAAGAAAAATGTCAGCCCAAAATTAGAAAACGGGCCCTTAAGAGGGGACGGGCGAGTAAAGCCCAGAGCGCCACAGCCGCTGCTCTGCTGCCCCACGGGGCTGTGCTGGGGGAGCCCAGGGGTCGGCAGGGCTTTGGGGGATGTTTGTGGGGTGGGACAGGGCACACTGGTGATGTCTCCCCTTGGGTGGTGTCATCTCCTGGTGGGACAGCAGGATGGTGTCCTGTGCACTAGGACTGGCAGTGTGGCGGTGGCCAAGATCCCGTGGCTGGTCCCAGCAGCACGGCCCTGCCCCAGCTTTGGGAGCTTTGAGAGGAGCTGTGCTCTGCTGGGAATTGCGTTTGGTGGCTCCCACTCAGAGCCCAGCACTGTGCAAGGACCTGTCACCAGCAGCACACGGTGGCCTCGGTTGGGTTTTGTCCATTCCTGGTGTTTCTTTCCCCATCTGGAGGGCAGAAGGGTCAGTGCAGAGTGCCAGGGAATTTGGGATCACGGGATGAAAGGTGCTTGAGGCTGCTGCAGGAATGGCTCCAAGCACGGCACCAATACCCATCACTGCGAGCAATTGGGGCTGTTCTGCTGAGCAGTACTTTGTTATATTTTATTTTTCAAATAAAGGATGGAAGATTATGAAATTATCCCCCTTTGATGGTATGAAACCCTGATTTTATAATCATGACTCTAATTACGGCTCTTGAGCTTTCAAAGTTTGTTAACATCATTAAAACATTTACCCTGGGCAGATAACAGCAAGCGTTAGCATGAGAGCTGCCTTTTAAAGATGAATACAGATAAAAGGACCCTCTTAAGGGTTCTGTGGGCAGACTGAATTCCAAGACTGTAATGACTCTGCCATATGCTCCAGCCCGCAATCTATCAGCCAGCAATTAGGTTAATGTTGGTGAAAGGGCCACTTAGCCCGGCAATCGGCACCCTACAGCTCTGCCGAATGCATCATTTTGTAACAAGGTACCTGCTGGGGGTTTGGCTTTGAGCAGGGCTCGGACCAGGTGTACCCGGTCATTGTGCCCTGTCCCACACCCGTCCCTGCCCGGGCTGAGCTGCAGCTGCTGCTTTGCTGGCACAGTTGAGTTTTTGGTGTTTCCTTGTGGCAAGGAGAACCTCCCTTCCCTTCTCCTGCCCGTGGGGCGCCAGCAATCACTTCCCGGGCTTTGTTTGCCATGGCCCCAAGCTCGGAGTGGCCTCCTGTCCCCATTGCCAGCCTGCAGGAGGAGGAGGAGGAGGAGGGAGAGATGAAGGAATGACAAGCAGAGAGGCTCAGGGGTGATGTCTGCTTGAAAGGCAGAGCGAGGAGCGCGTGGCAGAGGAAGGCTCCGAGCTGAGACGCTTCAAGCCCTGCTCTCTCTCCCAAGGCAGCTCTCTCCAGGCAGCCCCTTCTGCTGTGCAGCAGGGAGGACGTGCCCGTTCCAGCTCCTTACCTGCATCACCTGTGCGCCAGCTTCCTTTTGCCTTCAGTCCTCGTGGTTTATTTTCTTTTCTTTTTGATTTCATTTAATGCTGCTGAAGGCGGCTGGAAAGCTGCTGCCTCCCCAGATTGGGGCCTTTTATGTCTTTGTGATAGCTCCCTTCTCCTTCAGCCTCAGCAGGCAGAGGCTGCTCTGGCTCTGCTCTGGTCCCACTCCCAGGCTCAGATCCCCACAGGCATCCCCTCATGGGTGGAACTGCACCTCCTGCCTCAGGCAGGTTACTCCTACCTTCAGCTTTTCATCCCTGAGGCAAATTACCCATGGTCAGGTCTCCAGTCCTGAGGCAAATTATTCCCACTCTCAGATTTCCAGTCTGGGGCAGGTTCCTCCCACCCTCAGCTCCCCAATGCCTGCAGGGATGCTCTTGAATTTATCTTCCCAGCATTGCTGTGGGAGCAGGCAGCATCCAGGTCCATCTGGTGAGCCCTGCCAGCTGATGCCCCTCTGAAAACCTCCCCCAAACCTGCTGGCATGACTGGCATGCACTTGATCCCATCCCCAGCTGGTGTCACACATCCCCTGTGCCCTGGGATTTTGGCGATATCCATCCGCAGTGATCAGTCGTGGTTAATCCCAGCAGCTCTCCCTGGCCCTGCAGCTTTCCCAGCCTCAGGCTGTGCCCACGGGGCTGAGCTTAGCCCTGTCCCCCAGCAGAAGCTGCTCTCCAGGGCTGTCTCTATCATCCCCCAGCAGGTTTCTCCAGTTTTGATTAACTGGGAGTCTGCAGTGTGAGCTGTTCCCTTAATGAACTCATCTGTTACTCTGAGGACTTTGCACTCACTTTGCTACTGGCTAATATATTGCCATTAGTGCTCTGCTTTGCTCTGGAGTTTACAGCTTGTAATAATTATGTCTAATTTTGATTTTTTTTCCTTTAAATTACTACGCGGGGTAAAAATAGACTCAGTAATTAACTTCTTCCAAAGAGGAAGATATCAAAGTTAAAGAGGGGTGGGGAGAGAAAGGAGAAATAAAGGCAGTGTGGAGCTGTGCAGGGCACTGCTGGCACCTCCTGCCAAAGCTTCCCTGCGGCATTTCTGCTTCCAGGATCGTCTGTGAAATGGGGCAGGCGCTTCCAGGGATCAGCTCCGGCCCAGTGCTCCTGTGCATCGGAGAGTGCAAGCCCGAGTTCACGGCCAAGTCAGCGCAGCAGTACATGTTCGTGGTGAGTGTCCTGCTGGGGGACAGCACGTGTGTCCCCAGGAGCTGAGAGTGGCACATGGAAGGGGTTCAGCTCCAGCAGACAATCCCGGAAATGCTGGGGTTTTTTGGGGGGAGATTCCTCCTGGTGTTGCAGAATTTTTGGTGGCTCACTCAGCAAGCCCAGCTTGCAGGATTGAGAGCTCACCCTGTGAATAAACCAGGGCTCCCACAGCTCTGCACCTCCAGGACAGTGATGATGGAATCACAGATTGGTTTGGGTTGGAAGGGATCCTCAAACACCCAGTGCCAGCCCTGCCAAGAGCAGGGACACCTTCCAGCATCCCAGGGACACCTTCCTCCATCCCAGGGTGCTCCAAGCCCCATCCAAGCTGGCCTTGGGCACTCAGGGATGTCCTTCTCTGCTGTCACAGCAGCTCCCTGGCACAGCAGGAGCACTGAGCTTGTCCTTTCCTTCCTGCAGACTCCAGCTGTGAGTTTCCTGAGCCCCAGCCGTGGCCCAGAGTCGGGAGGGACCATGGTGACCATCTCTGGCCACTACCTCGGGGCTGGCAGCCGTGTGTCCGTGCTCCTGGGCAACCAGACCTGCGAGTTCCACGAGTAAGAGACCAGCACAGGCTCCTGCAGCACCTCCTGCTCCCATCCCAGCACGGATCTGCTGGAGCTGAATGTGCAAAAATCCATCTGGGAGCCCCTAAGGCTTCCATTCCCTCTTTTATTGCATGAAACCATCTTCTCTTTTATTGTGATGGAGGCTTGCATGGCAAGGGAGGGATCCATCGGTGTCAGTGCTGTTCATTATTTCATTTTAATGCTGTTCCAATGGTAACTGCTCTGAAAATCACAGTGAAACATCACCGTGATGGAAATGTGCTTATATTGGTCATCAGTACCTGCCCCCAGCCTGGCTGCTCTGAAGCAAATGGAACATTTATAAGAAATATCTCCTTTCTCTTTTCACAGACCTGCTCTGCTTTTATTGCAGCCACTGCTGCAGGTGCCTCGACCTCCTAAAAATGGTCTGGGATCCTCAGGGCAGAGCAAGGCGAGGTTCTGCTCACACCTCCTGCTGAGGAACTTGCACAGCCATCAATCTCTGCTGGGATTTCGATGGCAAATTTGCTTTTTCCCCAACAGTGTAAACACAGAGTTGACATTTGCAAGGTTTAATGGGTTTTCCCGGGGCTTAGTTAAAAAAGAGACCTGTGGTTTACATCTGTGTGTATCAGTACACAGCCCTGCCCACCCTGCTGGCAGTGGGCACAGCCTGGGTGGCAGCCTGGTATCCAAAGGGATTCTGCCTCCCAGATCCTCGCTCAGGCTGCCCAGGAGGAACTGAGGAAAGTTTCTGGGAAAGCAAAGAGCCCTGGAGGTGAATTCCTCATCCAAAAGCCTGAGGGGTTCAGGGCTGTGGGAGCTGTGGGTGTTCAGGCGTGGGAGCACTCTGGGTTTTCAGCAGTTCTTGCTCTGGATCCACGCTAGGATGGTGCTCAGGGCATCCCAGGACCTTCCAGTGCAGCTCAGCCCTCCAGGTGTTAACCCAGTGTAACCAACCCATCAATATTTCCTCCCACACCCAAACCAAAAATGCCAAATTGCTCCCTCAGATGGGAACAGCGTTGCCAGCAGCAGAAGTGCAGGATCAGCCCTGCAATATCATCCCTTAAATACCTGATCCTATTCAGGCAACCTGCAGCTGCTGACCTGCAAAACCCGGAGGAGCTTTGGATTCCCTGGGTGTTGTAATTACAGCAGGAAGCAGAAACTTCAGCCAGGAGGGAGCAGTGGCTGAGCAGCCCCATCCCTCACGCTGTGCACTTGGTTTGCCTTGGACTCTTGTGAGGCAGTGAACTCCAGTTGTACTCGAGGGTGTGGGGGAGCCTGATGAGATGAAGCAGCTCCTAATGAGATTCCCTCTAATTACAGCTTCCCCCATTCTCCCCTCTCTGATCGGAGGAGTGGGTAGATTCACCATGACGACATAATAATAGCACAGAAAGCTAATTAGCTGATCACAGGGAGCTGGGAGCTGCTCTGCCAGCAGCCCTGCGTCACTCCGAGCCCGTGCCAGAGCTGGGCAGGCACGGCAGGGTCTGGGGTGGGCAGCAGCAGGGCAGGAAATCCTGGATATGAGGATATGAGGCTGCTCAGAATCACCCCGAGACTCAGCACAGGGGCTGAGGAATCCCACTCCTCACACAAGGAAGCCTTTGTGGCTAAATTAAATCAAGGTGGATGTGATGAAAGCAGGTGAGGATGGGAAAAGGTAAAGGAGCAGGGCAGGAAGGGGTGGATGTGTTATTGCACCAAGTACAATTGGTTTGAGGCGTTTCAGGGGGTCGGTTCTGTTCCCTCGGTTGTGAGGGGTGGAAGTGGCAAGGTGTGAGCTGGGAACTTTGTGGTACCTGCTGTTCCATGCCCTCCCAAATGTCCATGCTCCTTGGAGAGGGCAGCGAGTGTGCAAGGACCCCAGAAAGGGAGCACACATTGTCCCCTGCCAGGGACAGACACGGCTCCATTCAGGCACCTCCACAAGCCCCTGAGGATGGTGAGGATGGTGAAGGTTCCATTCAGGAGTGCCAGGTTTTAATTTAAGTACCAGACTGGCAATGAGGTGCTGGAGACCTGCCTGCCCTCTCCCCTGGGAGAACCCAAAACTGAAGGAGCCACAGAAGGGACGCTGAGTTTGCAGCGAGCCAGGGGCAGGTTTGGGCAGAAAGGACAAGCACAGGTGGCTGTGCAGGAACACTGGCCTGCCAGGGATGTCCCTCCAGCACTTTCTGTAGGATCAGTGTCCAAGGAGCCGTGTGGATCCCCCCAGCTCTGTTCTGGATGCTCAGATCTCATTCCCCTTCTCCATCCCTCCACCCACCGGCGCCTTTGTGCTCTCACAGTGCCTCACTGCGCCGCTGCCTCGACCTTCTCCGGGGCTCTGGTGGCAGCAGATGGTCTGTTGTGTCCAGCCAGGCAGCACTGAGCCGAGGTCACCCCGCTCTGATGGGGACACAAAGCCCAAGGCAGCGGTGCCGGTGCCATGGCCCTTCCCAGGCAGGGGCTGCACGGGGCCATTGTGCCGCTCACAAGAGCCTCGTGTGTGCACTGGGGTGGGGAGGGGAAGAATTTGGCTTTTCACTGAGCTTATGCATCCCATTGAAAAGGCAGCCATCTGTTTTCACACGCCCAGCAGAAGGCAGCGGGTTCAGGGGGATGCGGGAGCTGCAGCTTGGCACAAAGAGGGATTTCAGCGAGGCTGCGCTGCTCTCACGGTGGGCAGAGCTCGGCACGGAGCTCCCTGCCCTTCCTTCCATGCCAAGCCCTCCTGCCCAGCTCAGGAGCTCCCCAGGTAGCAGTGTGGGGCTGGCTGAAGGCTCAGCCCTGCACTGAGCTGCCCCAGGACAGGACAAAGGCTGTTTCCTGCCTTCCACCACCCCATTAACACTGCTCGTTTCCCTCTTGTGCAGGCGATCCATGAATGAGATTGTTTGTGTGTCAGCACCCTCAGCCCACGGCCTGGGGACTGTTCAGGTCTCTGTCAGCGTGGACAGGGCTCAGCTGGAGAGGACTTTGCTGTTTGAGTACATCGATGACCCCAAGGTGCAGCACATCGAGCCCGAGTGGAGCATTGCCAGGTACCAGCTCTGACAGCACCTCCTTGGCTCTCCCCTGCTCTGGGGAGGACAAAAAAAGGGGCTGTTTGGAAATTCACATCCCACCCAGCATCCTGAATGGGTCAGGGCTGGGCATTTTTGGGGTTTGCATTCACCACAACTCAGCCCTGGGGTTACCAGAGTGGGTGTGTTCAGCAGACCCTGCACCAAGAGTTTGGGGCACAACCACAGCCCAGCTCAGCCCCTCTGCTGCAGAAGGGCACAACTGCTCATTAAAGGTTCTTTCTTGTCCTGGAGTATCACAAAACCAGCAGGCACCAAGCAAGGAGAGAGCTGATGTTAATGAAAACGCAGTGTGAGGAGCAGGGTGGCTGCTGCTGTCACAGCACAGGGACATTGCTGAGAGCCCTGGGCTGTTCCCATCCCCTCAAACCTGACCCTACAGGCACCTTGTGTCTGGGGCTGAGCTCAAGGCCAGGCTCTGTGCACAGCCCAGCACACTGACCAGCCTCTCCTGGCTTTCCCACAGTGGACACACACCCCTGACCATCACTGGCTCCAACCTGGACGTGATCCAGGAGCCCCGGATCCGTGTCAAGTACAACGGGAAGGAGTTTGTCAACGTGAGTAGGGGCTGGGAGCTGGGAGCCTCATCCTGCAGCTCCCTCCCTTCATGGGGTACTGGTGTCAGGGCTGCCTGCCTGGGGGGGTTTGCCATGGCAAAAGCTGCTCTGGGGGTATTTCCTGCACTCCCCCAAACTGGGGACACTGGGAAGAGGGAATTTGACACATAAAAATGTGAAATTACCTCCTTCCCTTATCTGTAGTCTTTCAGTCCTTGAGTGAGAAACTGAGATGAAGCCCCAGCTAAATGGGGACTAAGCGAGGTTCTTGTGTGTGCTACAAGTAAGAATTGCACCTCCAGGACTTTAGAAAATTATTCTGATCAAGTAAAACTGAAATATATTGTTTCTATGCAGTGATCTTTGTGACTGAGTCTGTATTATCTGGGAAAGGGCAAATCACTTAGCAGTCTTTTCCTATTCCTTTTCTCCCCCTCAAGACCTTTTTTCATCTGAGCTCTTTTTAAAAAGACATCTAATTTTGTTGCTAGCACTTGCAGTTATAGTGCTACAAAAATAATTCTGAAGACACAAAATTGAGTGAAATTAAATCTTTCACTTATGGAGGGAGGCCAAATGGTTGGGCTCTTGCTGCTTTACTAGGCAAGAGCCCCATAAATCAGTGATTTCCCTGCTCTGAGGGCTGGAGGAGCTGTGGGTGTCCTCAGCCCAGCTGGAGGTGACCTTCATGTTCCCTCCTGCCCACCAGTGTCACACAATCCATTCCCTTCCCTCGCTGCCATTTGGGCATGGCCTCTAATCCCCCTTTGCAGCAGGGAACAGGTATTCCCTATGGGTCTGCTGCAGAGCTAGAGAGGAGGGAAGTGGAAAGAAATGGGGAAAAAAATAAAGAAAAATAAGTAAGAGCTGCTGTGTGAGCCTTTAGCTCCACTGAAACATGGTTCATTTTGGGCTCACCCTCTATCTCTTCCCCAGTGCCTTCGTGCTGGCTGGAAGAGATTACCCAAAACCACAATAAGGCTGGAAAAAAACCTCTGAGATCCTCTGAGATCACGGAGCATCAAGCCTTGATATTAAATATTTCCAGCTAAGCATGAATCCACTTGACTTCCCAGCCACCAGAGCATCCCAGTCCAGCTCGGGGCAGAGTGTTCTGTTCCCTGCTGTGTGTCTGAAATCCTCCCTTCCCCCAGGTGTGCAAGGTGGTGAATGCCACAGCCCTGGCCTGCCTGGCACCACCGCTGAGCCCCGAGTACCGGCCGGGGCTGGACGCCGTGGAGCGCCCGGACGAGTTCGGCTTCATCTTCAACAACGTCCAGTCCCTGCTGGTCTACAACGACACCAAGTTCATCTACTACCCCAACCCCACGTTCGAAATGCTGAGCTCCACGGGCGTGCTGGAGCAGAAGCCGGGCTCTCCCATCATCCTGAAGGTAAAGGAGAGCCTCGCTCAGTGCGCGGGGAGCTCCCAAAAACCCCGCAGGGAGGGAGGGAGGGAGGGAGAGGGGTTATCCCTGCCGCGGAGGATGGGGTGAACACAGCCCCGCTGTTTGCATGAGCCGGGAGGGAGATGGAAGCTGGAGGAACGTGCTGCAGCTTTGTCGCTGTTGTGTCCCCGTGTCCCCAGGGCAGGAACCTGTGCCCGCCCGCCCCGGGAGGAGCCAAGCTCAACTACACGGTGCTGATCGGGGAGACGCCCTGCGCTGTCACCGTGTCCGAGACTCAGCTGCTGTGCGAGCCCCCCACCCTCACCGGGCAGCACAAAGTGATGGTGAGGGGCCACAAGTCCCGTCAGCATCCCCTTCCCCCCTGCTCCCCACCCCTTCTCCTTGCATACACAATCCCCACTAGGATTTTGGATTTTATGGGTGCCTGATTGGAAGTTTAAAATACTGGTAGAGACTTTGTCCTTCCCTGAGAGTCACTCCCTTCTAGAAGGAAAAATGCCCCTCGGAGCCTTCTAGAAGGAGCAAATCTTTCTGGCAGTGCCTTTGGCACTGGTTGCCATCCTTCCTCTGCATGAAGTTGAGACCATTCCCAGTGTTCTCCCTCCTGGAGGGATTTAATCAGCCCACGGAGACAGACCTGACCTGCCAAGTGCATGGAAAGGTTTTGCCTTTTCCCGAAGCAGGAGCCAGGAACATCTGAACGCTGGAGTGGTTGGATGAACACCCTCATCCAGGAGAGCAGTCAGTGCCTCCCTCTGCTCCGGGTTTGGGCACTGCTGCTTCCTCTGCTCCTCTTGCAGACCAAGCCCCAGCTGCCGAATTGCCTGAGCAGAGCCCAAATGAGATTGTAATTGTGATTTATTTCCCTTGAAGTTCACCATCCAAAACATATTCTGATTATCACAGCGTGACTCCCAGAAGTGCAACCTGGCTGAGAGCTGCTCACATCTGTGGCCAGGGCACATCCAAGAAAAGCCTGTCCTGGTGTTAACTGCAGCCTGTTTGCTCCACAGCTTTCACGTGGGGCTTTCTGCTCCCTTCTCTGCTCTGGCCTTGCAGTCACTCTGCTTTCTTGTCAGTGAAACAATCAGGGGCTTGTTAATGTCCACGGTTTACGGAAAGCAGTTGAAAGCTTATAAAATGAAAGTCAAATGGAGCCATCAGATAATAAGAACAAAGCCCAGATAGTGAAGGGCTGGCACATTTATCATCACTTGAAGCCTCCCTGTGCTCACACAAGCAGCCCCTCTGTGTCTGAAGGCAGTTGGGGTTTTCTGTTCCTGAGCAGAGGTGGCTCAGCGCTCCCTGCACGGCCCCCGTGGGGCACAGGGACACCCCCCAAGCTGCTGCTCACCCGTGCTGTGCCCTGCAGGTGCGTGTTGGGGGGGTCATCTTCTCCCCTGGCTCTGTGAGCATCGTGTCCGACAGCCTCCTGACCCTGCCCGCCATCGTCAGCATCGCGGCCGGCGGCTCCCTGCTCCTCATCATCGTCATCATCGTCCTCATCGCCTACAAGCGCAAGTCCCGAGAGAACGACCTCACCCTCAAGAGGCTGCAGATGCAGATGGACAACCTGGAGTCCCGGGTGGCCCTGGAGTGCAAGGAGGGTCAGTATCAGTATCAATATCAGTGTATCAGTATATCAGCATTG